ATTAGCAGGGATAGTTGTCAAATTAATTGAAGTTTTTTTTTAAAGGAAAAAAAATTGCGAACTTCCAAAAAAAAAATTACGATTTTACTGAAAAAAACCGATTGTTTTATATAATTTATCGTGTTAAATTTTTTTCGTGTAGTCGATAAGTGACAGCAAAATCTAAAGGGTGGGGTTAAAAGGTGGACGATTTGGTATGGAATATAATAAAAATATAGTTTAAACTAATTGTTCAATGTTATATCTTTAATACATTTATCTATATCAATCTTTTTATGACAATTTCTTATTAAAATAATATTTTGTAAATGGGTTGAAGAAAAAATATATATTTTTTTTCTTTAAAAAACATTTTCGTTCTTTTTCATCTAAATAATTAATAGTATAATGAAAACTAACAACACGTCTTTTACGGATATATTCCCTATTATCTTTAAAAGACTTGGAACATAAAAGTCATTGCATGGCACCAAAGACATTGAGAATCATAAAATTTGGTTTCGCGCTACAGTCTTGCGTGATGTTAGTTCGTTGCTGGCTCGACAACGACTGAACGATAGAGCGTTAGCGTACGTGTGAAGTTAATTTGCACAATTGTGCTAAGAAATGCTGACAACTGGTGCAAAACACTGGGCGGCAGGGGAGGAGCTGCGAAAGCCTTATTAAGCACAAAAATAAAGACACCCACTGTGTCTATTATAGTGTTGAGTGAGGTGGACGTGTTTTTTGCGCTCTTGGATTATTTCGCAGAATAATCCTTGTTTTTCATAGTGAAAACACTAAATCTTTGTGCTAAGACTTACCGGAGTTCCGGACGTTCCAAGTGGATATTAAACCTAAATAGATAGATAAGTACAATCTGATTTAACCAAAATTTATTTGCAAATAGTTATAGTTTTATTTTCCCTAATAACAGCGAATCAAACGGGCGCTTATTTTTAATTTGCGTTTTGCTTTGATCAAATCAGCTGTTCTCCGGTTTCGCTTTTTTGTTTTTTTCTCCTTTTCGCTTTGCTTTTGGTTTAGGCATCGCCAACCATCTATAATATAAGTTAGGTTTTAGCGGCAGGGACTGAACGTACTCACTAATAGGTGTACCCAAACTATTCTCTCACTGAGGTATGGCCTCCGAGAATAGTATGGGGCGTACACCAGAGAATCCTTTTCGGAGGAGTTCTAAAATTTCGAGAATGCCCCCAAACGACAGAAATGAGGAATCCACCACTGCTGGATCAACATTTAGTGGAACTGCTGACCGGGCAAGCAAAAGTGAAGAGAAATCACTAAGTAATGAATCCTCCAACTACTTCAACAAGCTGGGGTGCAAAATAAAAGAGCTAGAAAATATGATGGCTGGTCAAGGGCACGTAAACCAGGCAATGCGCGATTTACTAAGTAGCTTAGTGTGTTTTTATAATAAAGCCGAGAAACCGGTGGAAAAAACTATGGTTGAGAAAGCAACACAGCTTTCTCATATTTTCAAGGAGATGAATACCCCAAAGCGGCTGCGAGAAGCATCGGGAGAGCTACCCTCCACAAAAAAGCAAAAAGGGTACCGAAAAGGTACAACAAATGAGCAGTGAGACCACGAAAGTAATAGATATTACGGGTCAATATAACGCATGTGAAAAGTGGATGGATGTTGTTAAAAAGAGAAAGCCGATTCAGAAGAAAATAAGAACGAAACCGGATGCCATCATTGTAACAAAAAGGAAGGGCCTTCAAACGCTGATATTCCCCGAAAGATAAAAAGAGAAGCGAGCTTGAAGAGTTGGGATCAAACGTGACCCACATAAGAAAAACGATGGAAGGAGACCTACTGATTGAGCTAAAAAATCAGGCGGACAAGAGAGCCGAGTCATTTCAAAGTGTCTTGGAGAAAGCGGGTTGTGAAATGGCGCTGATACAGTCAAAACCCCAAGCGTCACAATAGTGTGTAAGGATTTAGATGAAATTACTACACCTGAAGAAATCTGCGAGGCGCTAAAAAAAGAGTGTGGGATCCAAACCCTGGAAAAATCTAGCGTCAAAAATATGAGAAAAACCCGTAGTAGCACACAGATAGCTCTGCTCAGGATGCCAAAGCTGCATTAAAATTGAGCAAAGTTAAGATGGGATGGTCGATTTACTGGCTTCGAGAATACTCGCCTATTCCTAGATGCTATAAATGTTTCCACCTGGGTCACATGGCGCGTAACTGCGGAAGTTCGACAGACAGATCTTCTCAATGTACACGTTACAGATCCGCGGGACATTTAGCAAAGGCATGCACCAACGTTCCGAGCTGCATGCTCTGCAAAGCGGAACACTCGGTGTTGAGCATGACTTGCCCCAAGTATGGAGATGCTGAAGACTCTAAGAAAATGAGGATAATACAGTTAAACTTAAATCATTGCGCAGCAGCACAGGATTTACTAGACCACACAATCACAGAAGAGAACATTGATGTCGCTATACTAAGTGAACAATATTCCCAGCGTCTGGAAAGCAGATGGATTGCAGACAAAACTGGCAAGGCAGCAATATGGTTCTGCAAAGGGCTGCCTTTCAAGACCAGCTCCAGAGAAGCTCATAACTGTGCGAATATACAAGGGATATATTTTGTAAGTTGCTATGCTCGTCTCAGCGCAGCAATTACAGAATTTGAAGATTTCCTCTTACGGATCTCTCTAGAAACCAGAGACAAAACTCCAATTGTAATAGCGGGGCATTTTAATGCATGGTCGACTGCATGGGGCAGCAGATATACGAACCATCGCGGGCGCCTTATTCAAGAATTCCTAACCCAAACGAACCTAACAATAATAAACAGTGGAACGCAAAACACGTACCAAAAAGGAAACAAAGGATCCATAATTGACATTATGTTCGCAAATGATTCACTCATCAGGCACATAAAGTGGACAGTGTCAAATATATACACATATAGTGATCATATGGCGATTATAGCTCAAATTTCGTACACCCCTGAGCCGGAACCCCCCAGCGGAATCACTTATCAAAAGCCAAGCTGCAAAAAAAAGGATTTCGATCCAGACCTTTTTGAGCTAGTCTGGAGCACATCACGAGCACCAGATGACAACGCCGCCCATCTGGTATCTACTGGTCGCAGCATGCGATGCAACAATGCGCAGAACAACTCATCATAACAAACGGAGGCCTGTGTATTGGTGGAATGTGGAAATTTCCACGCTGAGAAAGCTTTGTCACTCAGCTAGATGGCGTCTACAACGTAACCAGGTTGAAACGAACGGAAATCGCCTAAGATAAGAATTTAAAAGTCACAATAAACTGCTGAAGTCGGCAATTACCCGGAGCAAAAAGTCATGCTTCGAGAAGCTCTGTAAWGAAGCAAACATTGACCCTTGGGGAACTGCTTACAAAATATGTATGTCAAGATTTAAAACTAAGCAGCAGCAACCGAAAGATGCATCTTTTATGGGAAAAGTCGTCGAAACATTATTTCCGAAACACGACCAGATTTCATATGCCAAGCGGCAAAACGAAGCTGCAGAATCACCCCCGCTAGTCACAGAAGAAGAGCTCCTGGCTATAGCAAAGAAAATAAAAAGCAGAGCACCTGGA